GAGCAGGGAGCCCGATGCGGGACTCGATCCAGGGACTCCGGGATCATGACCTGAGCCGAAGGCAGTCGCTCAACCAACTGAGCCACCCAGGCGCCCTTGACTAAACCTTTGAAACTCGAATTCCTCTTCCCCTTTTCAAACTGTACCAATTCTTCAAAGCCCACTTCAGTCCCATTTTTTTTCTCTAAGCCTTTTCTGTCTTCTCAATTACCCTACAAAGTCACCCATCACCATCTCTAAAATTCTTTTCATATTTAGAGTAAGCGCCCTCCCACCTAGTACTTAGATACTGTGTGCTAATGGTCTTATTTGAATTGACACATTGCCTCTAACATCATCAGTTTTGCCTATCATTTCAAGCTCTACCAGGTAAAAACTATGAAAGATATCTATCCCATAATAGCCCTGCTTCCCTGTCTCCCCCCCAAGTCATTCAAGTACTCATTTCTATTCACAACAATAAAGTCATTGCAAATGAATGATTTATGACTGTTCACCGGAGACGCACCGGTGTTGAGCTTCCAGAGCCCCCTGGTAAGAGCACATGCTGGGGCAATGATGAAGGAGTCTAGGAAAATGTCGGATTCCAAGCAGGCCTAAGAAATCAGTTCTCTAACCAAGAGTGCCCTGCCAATCACTTCACGAAGCCATTCCTGAATACAAAGGTGTTCAAGATGAGGACCTTCTTCCTGAGGTAGGTAGTACGTTTCCACAAGTCCGACACACTGAAGCATTTATTTTATTCCAAAGGGCCTATACATTCTTCAGAGCAGCTAAGAGATACCACACAAAGGGAAGAAGAATGGCTCAAACTAGCATTTAGAGATGACTTAGATTCAATTTTCTTGAAGAGGCCGCATGAATCTTGGGATGGTCTAGGAAACGGTCAATGCGCTGTTTACCATTCAACATGGCTGACAGGACTGACCCACCAGTTTCTCAGAAGAAGAATGCAGCAGGGTCTATGACCTAGCAGGCAGTCTTAAGTGCGCACAGTGAAAATGGATGAACGTGAATTTTTTTTTTTTTTTTGATGGAATTAGGCTGAAACTGATAAGGACATTTAACCAGTTTACACCAGTCAGACAAATTAAACTCCAACACAGATTCTCCTTGGTGTGTAGCAGAAATTCTCAAAAACTCCGTGATAAATTCGTTGGTTATCTATCAAACCCTGTCTGGTTTTTAAGCTTCCATGTCTCCCTGTCTCCAGAAGGGTGGGCACTGAGAAGACAGGGACCACCCTCAGCCCTTTACTGCAAGCAAGGCTCCCTAGTCTCTGAGACAGACCTCCACACCACAAGGAAGTGGGAGGCAGGGCTCCGCCCTTTGGCCCAGGAGCCTATTTTGTTGTTACTAGTCTTCCTTCCCCACCCACGTGTTTAGTCTAGGGTGGGGGGCAGTCAACAAAGGGCTCAAGTGTGATGTTTCACACCTGCCGCCCCCCCCACCCCGTCCCCTCGTCACAGGGTACTTTTAACCTACCATTGGATCTTTTCTATTGAGCCCAAAGGCAGCCTCTGAACACCAACACAGAGTTCCCAAATCCATTAACAAATGCACCGAGCAGTTACATGAGATGAAACCTTTTGGCCGCCCCCTGGACTAAAGTCCTAGGCCACTGTTGACAGACTTCTCTGATGCCATTCTCCTACAATTCGGAGTGTCCCCACTGAACATCCTGCCTACTGTGATTTGGAACATTTGGAACATACCACTCTTGCTTTATGTACTTGTTTCTGCTGCCTCTCTTACCTTTGGATACCATATTCTGGGCCTGTCCATATGAGCCCTTCCAAATACCTGCACCATGAGTGGTTGGTTACCTATCCCATCCTGCAACCCACACAGGTAGGTTTTAAGCCTAAGCCCTGCCTCTCTCAGTCTGCCCCATCCAGCTGCACACCACCACACCTGGCTGTGTAACACCTACAAAAGCATGACATAATTCCCCGTTGCTGAACACAGGGGGTCCCCATGCCTGTTTATACAGAGATAAACCGGGTAGTCTGCATGAGTTACCGATAATAAAGAGTAAATTCATCCTATTTTATTTTAATTCTAGACGAAATTAAGACTATAAGCAACATCTCTACTGGTCCTGAAACTTCACTGACTGGACCCTAATCTTTATTCTCAATGACCAGCTTCTATTAGCTAACTTTTAACAAGTGTATAGGCAAAGTAGGGTTCTTTAGACTTTCCACAGTAGAAAAAAAATACATCAGTTTAAATTAAATCCACTGCTAACGTGGTCGACATTTCCTGCTTTGTCAAATGGCTAATTGAATGCCAGCCTGCTTTCAAAGAAGTGTCTGGCTTGCTCTAACTTGCTGCAGTGAACACCCTAGTTTCATATTGCTTGCATTCTTGAAAATGTCTATTTGGACAGACATTTCTCAGCAGACCTGCTTCCAAAACACACATTCCAAAATACTTCAAATTATATAGTAATTATAAATCCCCTACTTTTAAGTATTAGAAAGAAAAACAAGAATGTCAACAACTAAAATGAGCTCCATAATTTATGCAACAACTGGAAGCATCAAAGTTGAGGGGAAGGGAGAGCTCCCACAACCCTCATCTAAAACCAAGATCATCCACAGATACTGAAATCCAGAGATACTGAAAAATCCACATATACTGAAATCCAGATAATATTTACCATATGCACTACCACTCAGCCATTCTTTAAGTCCCAAGGTAACACGTTATGGATCACGATTCTACCAGAAACTGATGTTCCTTCAGAGAAGGTCTAAAGCCACCATTCTAAAAAACGAACCAGGAGAGAATTTTAAAAGTTCAGAAAGCATTACCTGGTGCAGGCTGTCGTTCATTCCACTCAGTTGAGATTAAAATTTCTATAACTTTTATGAGGTGTTCAGTATTCTCAGAGCTATAAAAAAAGAGAGTTTTATTAGAAACCTTTTTTTCAAAACAACAAACTCATGTTCACTTATACAAGTTCAAGTCAATGTGTCTGGTACAAAGGTGCACATGCATCTGTGAGCAAGCATCTTCAGAGTAAGTTGAATGATCCATCAGCTTAGGACTACAGACATCACCCCAAAACACATGCTTCTCTCCTTTCACCTTACCTGGCTGCCGGGAATCTGAAAAGTAGAGGGCTGAAAAGTTCAGAGAGTACTCTTGCACTCAGAAGATTCTTGCTGGAGGTTTGAGAGAGCTTGAAGAAATGTTTTAGCAAATACTGAAGCGTAAGCCAATACTGATGAGGTATGTTAGGTGCCCTAATGAGCTTCTTCAACAGCTGGATATATTCTTCAGGGCTCTGTACTTCTACAGAGTTTAAAAAAAAAAAAAAAAAAAAAGAAGAGTTGTTTCTAGATATCAGTGACTAAACACCTAGAACATTTCTGTTCTTCTAGCTACAGAAGAACGAGTCCTTTTAAACGAAGTCATCAGAAGCAGTGACAGAACATTTGTGCTCCTCGTTAGAAAATACATTGTGAGAAAGTAGAAATCTCAAGTTAAATGGAAATGCAAGAAACTCTTGGTGTAAAAAACCACAAGAGGATCAGGGTGTGCTGGCAGAGATCTGCCCTCTACTAAACAGCTTTGAGTGTGATTGGCTAATTTGGAGCAGCATCAGATAAGTATCACACGTTTTAACTTTGAAGGTTACGAACCACAGTTTCCTGTCCCCAAAGCACTTTAACTGAGCATTAGCTACTAAGCCTGACAGTCCTCTTCCCTCAACACATTTTGTAATGGCCACTCGAGGAAAATGATAAGAACATCCCCAGTCAGTGGGTCCTGGTCCCAGGTTCCCTGCATCCAAAGACGGCCCTTGGAACACTGTGGCCTTCAGTGACATAGTGAACTTTGTTAATGCTGATAAAAGGTTAACAATTAGCCATTTCAGCATGTGGACAGTCTTCCTAAGCAAATGAGAATCTGGGTCTTCTATTGGATGCCCCGGTAAGGGAGGGAATTGGTGCTAATGGGGAGGGAGGGTGTCGGGGAGAGTGCAGATTCCTACCAATATTTTCTAAAACACCGTTCTTTATATACAGCATTTAATAGAGTTTACATACACCTGCACATCTCAATATATGCGGTCACTGAGGTTTTCAGAACAGAAAACAAACCTTGGGCTAAATAAATCATTTCATTGTAAACGGCTACTGGAATGACAGGATTCGGTAAGTCCACAAGATAGCGTTTAAAAGCGTCTCCTAAAACTTGCACATCGATCATTTCCAAGTCCATGGAGGCGGCATCTGTGACAGAAACATTTTAAAAAGTATTTCAGACATTGTATGTATCGGTTGGGCCCATTTTTCTGAATATTTGACTTAAATGTGCCACAAGAAGGGAGGCACAGGAGGGCAAATATAAAATTCTTGAGTATTTCTTAGCAGTGTTTCTCAAAAGGGTTGCCCCTGGCATTGCAGGGAGAACACTTGTTCTTTGTGGAAGTCTGTCCCCTAAGTTCTAAGCATTTCCCATGATGGCTTCTGCCCATGATGCCAGGGGCACGTTCCCAGATGGTGGGGCAACAATAATAAAAAATCACACCCCTGTTATAAGCTGAATTGCGTCCCCCACAAGTCACAGGTTGAAGCCCTAACTCCTACTGTCTCAGAAGGTGAACGTATTTCGAGAGAGGGCCTTAAGGAGGTGGTTTAGCTAAAATGAGGCCATTAGGGTCGGGCCCTGATCCAACTTGGCTGGTATCCTTCTAAGAAGAGGAAATGTAGACACATAAAGAGACACCAGGAGCACAAGCACGGAGGGAATGCCTCGTGAGGACTCAGTGGGGAGGTGGCCATCGGTAAGCCAAGGAGAGAGGCCTCACAGGAAACCAAACCGGCCTTGACCTGGGACTTCTAGTCTCAAGAACAGTGAGAAAATAGGTTTGTGTTTGAAGCCACCCAGTCTGTGGAATTTTGTTATGTCAGCCCTAGCACACTAAAGTAGCCCCCCGAATATACCTTCTGGAGGGTGGTTCTGCTCTGACTGAGAAACGCTTGGTCTAGGGATGGCTAATCATTTAGTAAATGCTTCCTAAAACCTCAACAGGAAAACATGAAATGCAAATCCAGATATTGCCTAAATTTTGTGTTGCTGAATACTGCATCTCAGAATTCATACAAATTTAGCTCAGGAGAGTGGCTGAACAAACAGTAAGATATACAGAATTTTAACAGTCGGTCTCAAAAATAGCCATAAAAATACTTTTAACATTTTTAGAATGTTTCCCCCTGATTCTGACAGGGTATTCTAATTAGGATACAACTAGTCTAACCTGTGGGCACTGAACTAGCTCCTAAGAAAGAGGAGCACATCTGTCTAGTAAATCCTTCAGCCAGAAAAGAGGTCAGGCAATTCAATAACGGGGTGATACTAATCCAAACCACGCTCTGAGGACTCAGGGTAGAAAAAGTCACAGTGTCCGGCAGAAAGAGGGGCTGCTGGGGCGGGAAGGGCCAGGGGCATCTACATACAGAAGCGGCATTTGGCCGCTGCTGAAGGACGCGCACCAGCGACATGAAGGCCAACCTGAAGATTATCTGGAGCCTTGTGTACTCAGTGGAGACGAGGTGAGCTGATGGATGAAATGCTATAGTTTTCAACAGCTTAATTCTTTTTAGTGTTAAAAATCAGCTGGAAAAGAGCGCTGCTGGAAGTGAAGGGGACACTTCTGGTAATTCGAACTGCAGTGTTAGAGATGGGTGAGGCATTATCAAGAACTGACATAACGCGGGGACTGACTGGATCGGGTGGGGGCCTGGGAGAGGAGGAACCTGTGTCCTCCAAGGTGTGGGAGCCGGAGGAGGAAAAGGTGGCGTCCTGGACGGCCACAGAGCGAGTGTGATACTATCAATCACTGCGGGTTCAACGCGAAGTTACAAGAGTTCCTGGGACACATCGTTGTCATAAACCAAACCCGCCCCGCTAACGAGGCAGACCTTACGAAAGAATCACACAACACCAATAAAGCTCAGGAAAGTTCATCTGGTAGAGAATGTGCATAGGTGAGCTGGAGGAGAAGAATTACTAAACTCCGTCAGTGGAGGGGCACACGGTTGTGCCCCACAGAGAGAACGGCACACGCCACATCTCCAACAGGGCTGGGAGAGGCAGTGCCCGGTCTGGGCACAAAGGACCCACGTGAGAAGTAAGGCAACTACCAGTGTGCCTGTCAACTAAAGCTGTGTGTGCACCACGCGAGCAACATGCCACAGCCACTGACCGCCTGACAAGCTGCTGCCCCCCTCCCCCGCCCACGGACCCTTCATGCCCGGTATGCTTCGTTTACTAGGTCTCTTTGCCCCGGGAATTAATATTACCTAATTTGTTCATCATAAAGAAATTGATAAACCATTTGGTGATTGGTAAAAAAACATGAAGATGCTCAATATTCCACAGGCCCCTCCCTCGGGCAGGGTTTCTACTGCCTTCCCTGTGCAAGAGCAGTGCTGATGGGTCACGTCTCTATCAGGACACTTCCCAGACAGTATGGTAATTAGGTGTCTCTCTACTAGACTGAGAGTACCTCAAGGGCACGGACTGTGGCTCTTCCCTGCTCTTCCTGCTTCCCTCAGTGCCCAGCACACAGGAAGTGCTTGCGAAATGTTTGTGGACTGAGCATGTCCTCAGAGTAATGTCAATTCACCCAGGCCCTTCTCTTAACACATGAGGTGTGTTCCCAAGAGCCTTAAGCCTTTGAACAAAATCATCTTATTTCAAGCCTTGGGATTAGCCTTTGGATAAGCTCCCTTTATGTCAAATCCATTAGTGCTGATGACATAGTATATTGTTTTTTTTAAAGTAGCTTCTAAAGCTCCTTGGAGCTCCTGACTTTTGTTCTGTAAGTCTCCTTTTCTGCATTCAAACTATCCTAATGAGCTCTTCCAAGAGCTAAGGACATCTGTCATGTGATGACTTCTGAGGTTAGCTAGGCAAGAACTCCACAATCTTTAGGTCTAGGATGGAGGAGTTTATACCCTCTACACCCCAACTTTTCACTGAGTCTTCTCAAGACAGGTAAACTAGTAAGCTCTCCAGCATGTCACCCTTCCTCCCAAAGGGATGGAGTCTCCTCCCCAGCTCATCTCTACCTAAGTTAGTAGTTCTCAGTCAGGGTTTTCCATTTTATTGCCTCACTCCTACCCCAACCCCCACTCCCAGAAGACATCTGGCAATGTCTGGGGACATTTTTGATTGTTGCAATTCGGGGACCACGCTACTGGCATCTAGTGAGTAAAGGACAGGTGTGCTGATGCTGCTAAAGCCTCAGTTTTTAAAGTCAGGTGTAACTGCTGACATGTTACCCTATCTATCATTGTAACAATAGAATTTGAGATTTGTTTATGTAACAAATGATCACCACAGTCGGTCCAGTTAATCTATCACCAGGTTACAGAATTTCTCTTTCTTGTAATGAGAACTTTTAAAGAAAAGGCCTGCTTCGGGTTAAGAGAAACCAAAAAAAATCAGGAGAAAATTCAAATGAGAACAACAAAGATTAATTCACTTTAGGTCAATACAGCAGGAGAAAAAGGAGTAAGACTAATTTGGGTGCAAGTCCCAGCTTTGCCTTCAGCAGTGACGGATACTGCTATCCCAGGGGTACTATGGAGATGAAACTAACTAACTTAGGAGGGTGCTAATAAAACTGGGATGTTGTCTTCCACATCCATCCTTTTCAGACATTGGTAATTCACAGGGTTGGTTAAAAGCTATGAATTCTTTTCTCTTTTTTATTTTTTATTTTTTAAGCGAGAGTGACTTATCTCTGAGCCTCCTCCAAGGTATTACAATATTTTTATGGACTGAGAAATCCTCAAGCTATGAAAAATCCTGGAGGACCCACTCCTAAATTTAGATGTTTACTCTTTTTCTTCTCACAAAATTCACTTTTATCACACAGAATCCACATGAAACCAGTCTTCTACGTGTGTGTTTTGATCTCAAGTGGCGAAGAAAAGCTGTCTATCAAAATACATTGCTGACGTTATTTTTGGTTAGTTATTCCATCTCAGAGGTGATGTGAAGATTTTTTTTCTAAAGCTAAAGTGCATCATTTGTATTCAGTCACATTTAAAAGCTTAACCACTATTTCTCAAATAACTCTCATCTCATCGGTCTCTGATGCCTAAACATTTCCTGTGACTGTTGTTCAGTATGACCAATATTCTGACCAAAACATGTATCTCAATTTCAACTGGCTAAGGACAAAACTCAGTTTCCTTACAATTCTGGTCAGGCTGTGAGAAATAAAGGACAAGTGTTTCCCCGTGAGTTTTCTGCCAGTCAGCTCCTACTGACCTACTCTGGGGGTAAGGCAGCCCCCAGGGCACAAGCCCTGCACATGTGGGAGGCTGGCTTCCACGCACAAAATAAAAATGAAAGTTTGAAAATTTTTTTTTTCAAACTTCAAACATTTGGGTGGTGCATTTCAGGTGAAACTATTTTTTTTTTTTTTAAAGATTTTATTCATTTATTCATGAGAGACAGAGAGAGAGAGAGAGAGAGGCAGAGGGAGAAGCAGGCTCCCAAAGAGCAGAGAGCCCGATGCGGGACTCGATCCCAGGACCCTGGGATCATGACCT